CAATCATCAAAATATATCAATTAAGATTATTTGTTTCCCATTTCCCATTTAGCCCAAGCCTAATTTAGCCCTTTGATTAAGCCTAAATATTAATTAAGCCTTAAATCAAAATTACCCTTTTTTGGCCTTAAGGCCTTAATACCCTATAATTCATTAAATTAAACTCAAATGACTTGAAAATTTTATGTTACCCCACTCATGGGTTAATTAAAACATCATAGGAGAAAATGTAATTTTTCTGAATTTATTTAATTTTATAGTTATTTTTAATGCAAAAATAGAAATTTTTAATGAAAATTTAATAACTCAACCAAAACAAAACCTCTGTTCTTAAGAAAATTATGGGAGGCTCACCTAGGTCATAGGACCACTTGGACCAATTTTCATGATTTTTAGAAGTTTAATGTAATTATTAAAAATTATTTGTTTGTTTTGAGCATTAATTATATATAAAAATATTATTTAAGTAGAAAATTAAGTTTTATATTTTTATTAAATCTCCTTAAGCCCATGGAACCCAAAGATATAAGTTTCATGTTTTTGTGGTTTATATTTTAATTATTAGAATTATTTTAGTGAAAAATTAGAGAAAATTCAATTTTAAGCTTTTAAAGTTGATATTTTGACTTAAAAAAATATTTTGATTGGTCCCAAGTGATCAGGAAGCCAAATTTGACATTTTAGTGTATTTTTACAATTTTACAATTTTTATTTTTACAATTTTACAATTTACAATTTTACAATTTTTATGATTTTTAATTAATTTTTAATTATTTAAATGCTAAAAAAGGAAGTATTTACTTTAATTCTAATTTTATTTTTCTCAGGTTTCTCTCATCATAAAGAGCTCACAAAATCAATTTGGTGATTTTTTTGAGTTATATTTTAATTATTATAATTATTTTAATGCCAATAATGTAATTTCACTTGATTAATCCATTTGAGTTGTCAAATTAACTCCAATAGACTTGAAATTTTTATGGAGAGCTCCTTTAACATTAAATTACAGTGTGGAATAATTTTTATGGAATCATTTTTATATCATTTAAATTTATAATTACTCCAATTTAATTTTTATTCATTTTTAGGGGTTGGTGACAATTAGGGTTATTTTTAATAAGTTAAATCAAGTTTATATTTTTCCCAGGGTCTTTTGACCACAGTGAACCTACCAAAATAGATTTTGTATTTTTCTAATGAGTATTTTAATTATTATAATTTTTATACCAAAACAGGGACCATTAACTTGAAAATTAGATATCTCTAGTTAGAGATGCCCCTTGACATTGGAAAAATCATGGGAGATACCTAACAATAGAGACATCAAAAGCTCCATGGTCCCATGGCATGGTGAAATGTCCATGTGAATGGAGAATCCAAATAAGAAAAATACCATTTAATTAATTAAAAGTCATACATGTATCAAATGGACATGAAACCATTTTCACATTGTTTTCCTCTATTCACTGTGCAAGGGGGTATTTTTATTTTACCTTTATGATTTTTCTACACCAAGATATGCATTTTCTAAGTTTTGGCCATTAAATAAATAAAATAAAAGCCTATTTTTCTATTTATCCAGCGCATCCTCGTATGAGTTGAACGGACGCGTGTCGCCATGGGATTGAGCATCACCATCTGAGTTAGCCCACGCTTTATGAAGCGAGACTCTATTCGACGTGATCCTAGCCATCCATGTGATACGTGCACGATCTAATGGTTGCGGGTCATCGTCCCCAACTAGTTCAACCCGAGAGCCGTCCACAGCCGTCCACCTTGAAACCCTAACCCTAATATCTCTCTCGATACTTAACCAAATTAAGTGTGGTTTGTTCCTATGAACTCCTCTTGACTAGGAGAACATATACATACAGTTAATCAAACCTTAAATCGAGTCTATGAGCATAGAGAATTAAATGAAGCTCAGTTTAGAGGGAGAGTTCAATACCTTTGCCCAAGAGGTGTGGCCTTGATTTGGTGCTTCCAAAGCTTTCCTTGAGTCCAAAGAGCTCATAGATGAAGCCTTAAGTCATGGTGAAATGCCTAGGTATGATTTCGACCAAGGCCGATTTAGGGGTTCGATCAAAGTCCACCCTAGGGTGGTCTGGTGATGGGGCTTCTATGGGGGATATTCTTCTCTCACTCAAGGGATGGTGTGGGTGCAATTAATTTGGATTTGGTGGAGTCTAGAGGGATTTCATGTTTTAGACTTAATTTTTAGCTCCAAAATTGAGCTCAGGCGGTGGGTTTGAGGGCTTAAGGATGGTTGGGTTGAACTCTAGAGGTCTTGAAGAAGCTCTGGGAGCAATTTAACAGAGTCTCCCTAAGGAATTTCAAGCTATACCCCCTTGGTCGTCGAGGGTGAGTTTAAATAGAAGGGCTTGGAGGCTGCAATTAGGCCAACCATTGGGTGTTTTTGGTTGCTTTGTGGAAGGCAAAAATGTGCAACAATCAATTTGGGATGAGACAGTTTGGATGAGTTTAATTTTAGGTTTTAGCCAAGGGTGAGCTTTTGGATTTGGGTTTTCCGGCAGCCAAGGTGGCCGACCGGCCAGGCTCAGCTCACTATCTGACTCAGGGATGTCAGGGCTTGATTTTGGTGAAGTCAATTGGGGTTGGTCATGTGTAAAGGCTTTGGATTAAAAAGAAATGGGGGAAGGATCATTTTGGGTCAATATGGCTCAAATCATGGTTTGGGGTTGGGTTCACTCACCAAGAAGGGTTTAGAAGTTGAGGGAAATTAGATGATTCAACTTAATCAACATGATGAGGTCCCTATCCAAGTGATTTACAATAAGCATGAGGTTTGGGTGTTTCATTAAGTGGGTTAAAAAGGCTCTTAAGGATATTTGAAAGTGATTTGGCCTCTTGACATTAATAGCTTGATGAGGTGGCAATGCTCATCTGGCTCACCTATGGCTTGGGAATGGCTTCATGGCTTTCCTTTGGCTTGGCTCTTTTGCATGAGAAAGGATTTTGAATTTATTTGGTATTTTTAGTGAAGTTTTGCATGATGCTTGATTTGGAATAATTTGATTATAGATTTAGAACTTAGGGAATGATTTTGATTAAAGGGATATGTTGATCTCATTTTTTTGTTGAGGTTTAGTTTTTCCTCTTTAGTAGCCTAGGTTCTAGGCATATGACTTTCCTGTTGACTATTCCTAGAGGACTAGAAAAGGAACACTCACAATTAGAAATTTCAAACTCTTCTTTCCTCAACTTGGAGTTCCACATGGTTGTCCTAACCTCTAGTACTTAGTATGTGGGGTCAATATGGAGGAGCTCAAGGGGAGTCCCCCATAGGATGTTCAGCCTTAAAATTAACCTTGGGTGATCTGGTTTTGGTGGGGCTAACGGACACACACTACACTCTCTTTCACATACCCCAAGCCCTAGGACCCCTTAGGTTGGTCTCTTGACTCCTTTTGAGAAGCTCATATGAATGAACCTATACCCCTAGTCTTTGGCTAAGAGGGTTAGAACCAGTATATTGAGCATCCAAAATGAATCCTCACATGGCTTCTATTGGTTTGGTATGGTTTCCTGACTTGTTAGGTCATTTTGGCCCAAAACTATCAAATTACCAAAATACCCCTTCAACCCTAATTTTTGCCAAAAATCCCAAAATTACCCAAAAAATCCAAATTTGTCCAAAAATTATCTCAAACCACTCCCACCACTTGAATTCACGAAAATTACCAAATTTTCAAAATACCCCCAAAAAGTGCCAAAATTATCAAAATGCCCTTCATTACCTAAAAATCCCAAAAAATCCAAAAAATTTCAAAATAATCCCAAATATTCTCAATTTCAATTTTTGATCACCAATTTAACCCAATTTGACCAAAAGCTCCAATTTGTCTTTAAAGGCCCAAATGCCCCCATATTAACCCCAATTTTGGCCCAATTAACCCCAATCATGCCCAATTTCAATTCCAAATCAAAATTCAGCATCCACAATCCTAATTCAGACAAAATTCAAGCCCAATTTGATCCAATTATAAGCTTAATTTTACCCAAATCAAAATGCCCCAATTTTGACCATATGCATAAATCCATCAAATTAGCCCACCAATTCAATTCAAAATAACTTGAAATTTTTCCAAATATTTTATGATATCCCCCTACACCAAATTCAAAATTCAACTGGCCTAAAATTTTAGCTCAAGTTTAATTTTAATTTTAAAAGCCCAAATCCTTAAGTTATTCCAAAACGCCCAAATCCAAAAGCCCACATGATGATTTTCCTCCTCATCATCCCTTTGATCAAAATTACTCCCTAAGTATTAAGTCCATGATCAAATCATTCCAAATCAAGCATCATGCCAAACTCCACCAAAATATTTCATAAATTCAAAAATCCCTCCTCATGAAAGTTGATCAAGCTAAGGACAAGCCATGAAGCCACTCCCGAGCCATAGGTGAGCCATGAGAGCCATGCCACATCACCATACTATTAGTGGCAAGAGGCCAAGCTAATTTCAAATATCCTTAAGATTTTTTTAACCCCTCCAATGAATCACCTAAACTCCATACTTAACCAAATCACTTGGATAGGGACCTTACCAATGATTAAGCTGAACCATTTGATTTCCCTCAGCATCCAAGCCAGACTTGGTGGGTGAACCCAACCCAAATCCACGAATTGACCCACTCAAATCCATGAATTGACCCAATTTGACCCAAAATATCCCTTCCCACATCCTATTTTAATTCAACGCCTTTACACATGACCAACCCCAATTGACTTCACCAAACCCAAGCCCTGACCTCCCTTAGTGGGATGGTGACCTCCTTTCTTGGACCAAGGTATTGAATTTAAACCCTAAACCGAGCTTCATTTAATTCTCCATGAGCATAATGTTGATTTAAGATTTGATTAACAATATTGATGTGTATCTCATCAAGACGAGTCAATAGGAACAAACTGCACTTGATTTGGTTAAGTATTGAGAGTTTGAAGGTGGATGGTTCTCGGGCTAGAGGCTTTGGGGATAATGACCCGTAGCCGTTGGATCGGGAGTTATCAAATGGAAGGCTCTGATTGCTTCGGACGGAGGAAGGGTTCGAAAAGGGTGGCTGACGGGGCAAATGCATGGACGGCGATGTCGAATGGGAGTGCGACACTTGGAAAACTCGACGCGTACGAGGATTGCGTGGATAAGTAGAAAATTAGGCCATTTTTCTATTTATTTAAACCCCCAGAACTTCAAAAATCCATAATTTTGTATAGAAAAATCATAAAAATATTCTCTTGCTGAACAGAGGAAAATAATGTGAAAATATTTTCATGTCCATTTGAAGCATATTTTATTTTTAATTAATTAAATAATTTTTTTCTTATTTTGATTCTCCATTTGCATGGACATTTCACCATGGCATGGGACCATGAGGCTTTTGATTTCTCTGTTGTTAGGCATCTCCCCTGAGTTTTCCAAGGTCAGGGGGTATCTCTAACTATAAATATCTAATTTTAAGTTAATGACCACTGTTTTGGTATAAAAATCATAATAATTAAAATACTCATAAAAAAATATAAAATTTATTTTGGTAGGTTCACTATGGTCAGAGGATCCTAGGAAAAATATACACTTGATTTAACTCATTAAAAATAACCTTAATTGTCACTAACCCTAAAAATAAAAAGAAAATTAATTTTAAGTAATTATAAATTTAAATGACATAAAAACTATTCAACACTGCAATTTAATGTTAAAGGAGGCCCCCATAAAAATTTCAAGTCAATTGGAGTTAATTTGACCACTTAAATGGATTAATTAAGTGAAATCACACTTTTAGCATTAAAATAATCATAATAATTAAAATACAAATAAAAAAATTACCAAATTGATCTTGGGAGCTTCTTATGACTAGAGGAACCTAAGAAAAATAGAATTAAATAAATACTTCTTTTTTTAAGCTATTTTTAAGCATTTAAATTAACAAAATTAATTAAAAACCATAAAATTGTAGAATTATAAAAACACACTAAAATGTTACATTTGACTTCCTGATCATCTAGAACCAATTAAAATAATTTTCTAAGTCAATAAATTAATTTTAAAGGCTTAAAAATGAATTTTCTCTAATTTTTCACTAAAATAATTTTAATAATTAAAATGTAAGTCACAAAAATATGAAATTTATTTCTTTGGATTCCCCGGGCTCAGAGAGATTTGATAAAAATATAAAACTTAATTTTCCACTTGAATAGTATTTTATATTTAATTAGTTTATATTTAATTAATTTGTAAAAAAACAAATAAATTTAATAATTAAATTTAGCCTCTAAAAATCATGAAAATTTTTCTAAGTGGTTCTCTAGTCTAGGTAAACCTCCTATAATTTTCTTAAGGACAGAGGTTTCATTTTGGTTGAGTTCTTAAATATTCATTGAAAATCTCTATTTTTATATTAAAAATAATTATAAAATTAAATAAATTTAGAAAATCACATTTTCTCCTCCGATGTTTTAATTACCCGTGAGTGAGGTAATATAAAATTCTCAAGTCATTTGAGTCTAATTTAATGAATTATAGGGTATTAAGGTCTTAGGGGCAAAAGGGTAATTTTGAAATTTAATGCTTAATTAATATTTAGGCTTAACCAAAGGGCTAAATGGGCAACAAATAATATTAATTGACATGTCTTAATGATTGAAACATAAAAGGGATAAGTGGTAGTAACCAATGTCATTTTGATCTTATAAAGGATAAATGTATAATTTTTCAAAAATAATGAAATTTAAAAGAATAATTAAATAGGGAGATATCACAGTGAGGGGTTTGAATTCAGAAGATCATAACTCACTGATTTTAAACCCCTCAACTAATGGTTTTAAGATGATTTATATTTCATTATAAAGATTAAGAATATAAATATTGAAAACCCTTTTTCTTAAAATTACAAATCTACCCATTAAACCTTAAGGGCTTAGTAGTGAACTAGACTTAATCAAAATTTTGTCTAATGAGGTTTATAAAATAACTTATAATTAATTTAATACTTTTTAAAACACTCCAAGCCCATTCTTTAAAAATCAAATTAATTAAATTCCTTGATTTAGTTGAGTTGCCGCCAAGAGTCTTTACCTATATAACTCATAAATGAGACATTAAGTGATAATTATCCAGTTCAAGAGATAATCAAAACATCAAAATTCACTGAGCATAAGATTCACTGAGCATCAAAATTCACTGAGCATAAGGGTATTAAATAGATGAACTATATAGTAAACATAACAAGGCCAAAATGAACTCTAGATACTTCCAGGGACTATGAAATATTTAGGGTATTACCCGAAACTTCTTCATGATGCTTTGGAAATATTGAAGGACATCCGGACTTATTATGATTTTCTTAATAGGATCATCCTCAAAATTTGGAACAACCAAAATATGACTGGAACAACCAAAATATGACATAGGATCTGGTAGACACACCTCAAACTTATATTTTCTCCTTTCCTTTATAAACATGCTTTAATTCCCGCAACATTATAAATATATATGTCTTACATGTACTAAACTTTCAGGTGAAAAAACGAGAAAACTCGTCAGGTACGTTTTTACAATTTACAATACAGTTTTTTCTTGTAGTTTCTACACTGTACTTTTATGCTTACAAACTTGCATGCTAAATAACGATGTCACCCTGCATGCCAAAACTAAAACCTTTAGGATAGCCACAAAAATAAAACCAAAACCAAACTTAAATCAATCAAAATAAAATTCACCCCCACAATATTCAAAATATAAGACAACTCAAAATTTAATCACAAACAACAATTGCAACTAAATTAAAATGTCTCTATCGGATGATCGAGAATCCTTCGAAGGAGGTAACCTACGGTTGCTAACGAGATTTCTCCTGGTCTAAATGAAAGTATAAAAATCATTAAGTTGAGTTTAGTAAATTTATTTGGACTAAGTGAACCTGACAGAAAATAGTGGTACCGGAACGAGGGAACCGTAGGATCTTAATTGGTGTCACTCTAATCAACTTTAATATGCCCCATAATACTTAAATGACCATAACCATAGGTTTAACTAATTTGACATAGTAACTTGACACATTAGAAAACCTCAATTTGTCGCGACGAGGAGCTTGGAGCTAACATTGTGGGCATCACGACCATCTTAAACAAAAAATACACATCTTCACCAACTAAACCATTCTTTAGAATTAAATAACAAATTCATAGGAATTCGAGGTTGTTTGCTTATGCAACATAAATCTTCAATTTATCTTTAGGCCTTTGTATAGCTCTGCTATACAATTTAAGCCCTAACCTGCTTTAGGATTCCGAGGTTGTCGTCTGCCATGACCTGAATCCTCACATCTTTCAGGCTATTTGTGTGATCATTTCACATGAATATAAGCCCTAATTAATAAAATTGGCAGGATGAAATATTTAAAATTTTCTCCTCTAAATTGAAGCCAAACCATAGGATAGCTTGGGAAGTCACTGAGGTTCTCCTCCGGATCTGTGACATCCCCTAGTTCTTGCTTGGGAAGTCACTGAGGTTCTCCTCCGGATCTATGACATCCCCTAGTTCTTCCTCCTTTGGATTCTAAAATAAAATGCTCCAAACTTGAGTCATTCCTCTTTCACACCTCTTTGTCCAATCTCGTTAAAAATTCCTAATCCTTTGACCTCTTTGAAGATAATATCCCCTGATTTTTATCGAGAGTTATCTTAGGTGACTTCAGTTGTCTAAGATATAATTAACTATAGGGGCTTACTCTTATAGAAAGTATTTCCGAACCCAACTTTATATAAACCCTATTTAATTTTTTGTATTAAATAGGGAAATTTGTCGATCAACATAAAAATGATTTCACAGATATAAATGGATGTCATACAACCTTTAGTTTTTTTAATCGAATCTACATTAGTAAGTAATGTGTTTATCGCTCAGGATATGTGCACTACTTGTGGTATTAGACTCATTTATTTAAACTATATGTTAGGATATTCATCCTAGCTGCTGACAACTCAACAACTCCCAACTTTTCAGTGCCGACAGGATGATGGAGAGGAAAATCATCATATGGGCTTTTGATCGAAATCGACCTTCTGAATGATTTAAAGACTTAGGCTTTTAAAATTGAGATTGAATTTGGGTTTAAATTTGGGTTAATTGAATATTGAAATATGGCATAGGAAGATGTCATGAAGAGTTTGGAAAGGATTTCAAGTGATTTTGAATTTAATTGGATGGTCAATTTGGTGGATTTAGGCATATGGTCAAATTTGGGTCTTTTTTATTTAAGTGAAATTAAGTTTTCAATTGGGTCAAATTGGGCTTGAATTTTGTTTAGATTGGGATTGGGGGTACTGAATTTTGATTTGAAATTGAAATTAGGCAAGATTGGGGCAAATTGGGCTAAGCTTGGGGCTAAGTTGGGGAGATTGTGCCTTTAAGAGTAATTTAGGACTTTTGGTCAAATTGGGTCAACGTGATGGTTAAAAATTGAAATTGGGAATATTTGGGATTATTTTGGAATTTTTGGGTCATGAGGGGTATTTCATGAGGGGTATTTTGGCATGAGGGGTATTTTGGTAATTTTTGATAATATTGGGGGACTAAACATCCTATGGGGACTCTCTTTGAGCTCCTCCATACCGATCCCACCTACTAAGTGCTAGAGGTCAGGACCAACATGTGGAAATTCAAGTTGAGCAGAGAAGAATGTAGAATTTTGAACGGTGAATGTTCCTTTTCTAGTCTTCTAGGAATAGTCAAAAGGAAAGTCCTATGGCTAGACCCTAGGCTACTAAAGAGGAATAAGCTAGACCTCAACCAAAAATGAGGTTAACAGTTGAATTCAGACCTTCTTAGAGCAATATATATTGATCAGTGCCTTGAACATTCTAAATTATCTTCCAATATATACCTAAAATGTCAATATATAAACTGCACAGTACAGGTAAAACAATTGTTAACTTAAAACTAATTTTTGTATGTAATAATCAAAATAATATAATATAAGTTAAAGCTCCTAGGGTTAATATTTATTGACCTATCATAAAAAAAGAAATCTATAAATAGATCCCTAGTGTTATAGGCTTAGTAAAAGTATATTACATGTCTTAATACTAAGTATTAATCTGAATTTTGAGTTAGAAAAAGGTTTACTCTTTGGAACTCAAATATCAAAAAAGCCACTAATGTGCACTATGCAAACAAGAAGGAACCCAAAAGACATGAATCCCTAAATATTGGAAATAAGAAAAAAAAAACTCAACATTGAATTGGGCATGAAGACAAACTACTATACAACCCAAAAATAAGAATGTCTTCAATGACTCAATGAGCACAAAAAACACTCGACAATAATGTTCCTTACGAGACACAAAAGTAAATCACTAATCAACTTAGAAAATGTGGATATCATAATAAGCAATGATGGCCCTTAGTGAGACTATATCCTTCCACATAATTACATCATGAAACTTAGATTTGCCTTTAACACCTTCAAGTTGGATCCACGTTAGTTGTTCTCTTGCTTTCCTATTGAAACATAATACACTTCTCCAACTCTTTAGTGATATCTTATCATACATCTCATAACTGCTTAAGAGAGATTGAAGTGCGTATTCATCTGTTCCGTGAAATCTAGTCTAGGGGGCTCATTCTATTATGCTCTCAACTTACAATTATCTTTGTTGACTCAAAAGAAATTAATACCATGCCAACCAATTTTAAAGAGAGAATCATCAATATAGGAGTAATTGGTGAAAGAACAAAAAAAATGCAATCAATGACTAAACAATTTTAGGAATTTATATATATGCGAAGTGTTTGATCCACCATGGTGCGGGAGCTCTAGAATTTTAGGCACGCGGGACACCTAATCATAGGCGCCCGAATGCAAAGGGGAAGTGATATTTGGGGTCCACCGGACTCAAATACCGTAATTTTCTTATTTCATTATTGCACCAACCCAGCAAACCATATGCTCTTAGAAATTCAAATTTATTGCAAAAATCTCTACCAAAAAATTCAACAAGAGTGGGAACCACTGCATTCAAACTTCATCATCACGATGGCAATTTACGTCATAGTCTGACATTAAAAATTTTTTAAAAATTATAAAATGAATTCTATTATACTAAAAAAAGAAGAGGAATAGATATAATTGTATAATTTATTCATTCAAAAAATATATAATTGGACTACAAATTAATATTGCTTTTCATTCTGCTCTTAATAAGAGGTCGATTTTAATATTTGCACATATATTAATTAAAATTTCGTAACAATTATTTGTCTTAGACCTGATATTTTATGTTCAATTGAAGTAATTGTAAAAAAAAATCATTTCTTGATGCCATGTTCACGAGAAATTATTGCATACATACACCAGAGATGCATGCGGTGTCCGATCCTGACCGTAGATCACGGTGTAGTCAGAATGTATTTCGGTGGACCCTACTTTAATTTTTTTTTTCAAAAAAATTTTAATTGCATCCTGAGCGGTCAGAATTGGACACCGCATGCAACTCTGCATGCGGTGTATGCATGCAATAATTTTTCCATGTTCACATAATTATCAGAAAATTCTTATGAATTTACATATCTAACATTTATATTTTTATATTTGCATGTATAACACTCAAATCTCTAACATCACATCAAAAATATCATTATTGTTAACTTTTAAAGATGAAATATATTTTGTCATGCATAAATTTGTTACACTAATGTATTATAAATGTAATATCAAATATAAAGTGATAGATATCTAAATATATCTTTCCTTCGTTGGAAGATAAGGCATTTTCATCCCCCACTTTTATACAAATTGCAACACAATGATCAGGACATGCAAATACTTTATATTTTGTAAGAATTCTTTTATTTAAATAGGAATTACTGTGTATAAATAAAATAAATAAATTTAAAATCTAATTTAACTGATTTTATAGACTGAAATTGAAAGGCAGAGAACAAATTGTACCATCCTGCCAGAACTTTTCAATACTTTTCAAACAAAGACTTTGAATTGACTTTCATTTATCTTTCCTCTCTGCGTGGCTTCCCACCTCTGATTACTTTTCCATTTCTCTATCACTTTCCCTTTCCCTCCCAATTACAATAGACCACATAACCCTAACCCTAATCACTTCACAACTATGGAACCTTCATCTTCTTCCTTATATACTTATATTTCTCTTGTTCTTCTTCATCTTATTCATGCATGGAGTCTCTCTTTTTTCTTAGTCCTGAAGCTCGCTTATATTTCTTACGAACAGAAGCCCAAACACTTGGATGTTCATATATATGCTTGTGGTATTATCTTCCTCATCCATCCAAGTAGGCTATCACTCTCTTCCCATATTTCATGAAATATATTATAAAGTTATCTTATGTGGCCTTAATTTTTGTTCTAATCATATTGTAAGAGCAATTAGTTTATCATTGGCTTTGATTTTGGTTTACATATAGCTTTTTGATCTCCATGGATGGATGGTATAATGAAGATGAAGGACAACCGAGCTCTTCTTCGGGTAGCTATAAGAAGAAACTCTTTGAAGATTATAAGGGTTCAGTTTGCAGCACAGAGAGTGGGTATAATATTTATTATATGCAAAAAATGGAAGACAAAAAACTTCAAATTATTTATAGACAAAAATAGTTCCTCCATTACTCGGCTGACTTTTTTTGTCTTTTTCTTTTATTAGTTGTGTTCCAGGCTTGGTTTTTAAGCAGAAATTGCCTTATATAGAGCTAGAGTATTTTGATTTGTTAAACTCAGCTTCCAGTCTCGCACAATTGGAGTTCTATAAGGTGATTATTAGTGTTCTCTTTGTCATAATTTCAAAAGAAATTAGCGCTAAGAAAATTGAATAATGGAAAAAAAAAAGGATTTTTAACACCTACAAGTAGTTAAGTAAATGGTGATGATTATGAGATGATGCTAATTTAACTTAATTTGACCTTTTTTTTTTCTCTTGCAGGAAGCTGGAATAAAAGTTGGTATCATATATCGGAACTTATTCTTTTAATTTGCTTGCATTTATCTTAATTTTGCAAATTTTTTTCATTTGACTAAATCTTTGTAATCTAATGAGCAGAAAGCTGTGTTCATCGGATGTAGTTGCGGAGAGATTGAATTAGGATCATTAACTTCCAATAATGTAAGTTACATAACTAAATATTACATTCAGAACTATATAAAAAATATTTTTACAAATATTAAAGTTTTATTTGCAGGCAAACATGCAAATGTTATTTAACAATGACTTCATTAACTTTCAGAGATCCCAAATCCAGCTTGGTGAACTTTATATGCCTGCACAGAACATACTCTCATCTTCTTCCACCTCTTCTTTGAAATCTCTCTCAGTTGGCAGCCCGGAATACACTTCTCTTATTCTCAGCAATCCAGTTACAGACCAATCAATCAAAAATGGACAAACTTTAACATCACAACACCAAATAACTATGGATCCATACCTTCTACTTCCTTCTCCCCAGAGTGCAGATGCTGCATTAACAAGAGCATTAATGGCTGTGTTCTCTTCTTCTGGGACAGATCCACAGCAGCAAGAGAAAGGTAGAATGAATCTGTCGTCGAGCTCCTTCGAGCCATACGGCTCCATTCAAGCAAGCTTTGAATCTAGTTTTAGCTCAGAAGGGCAAAAAATGATAAAGAGATCTATATCATTGTTGAGAAAGGTTCATGCGTTGAATTATGCTGCAGCTAGAATGCATGATAAGCCACCTATGAGTAGCAGTAAACTGCATCATGTTATTGCAGAGAGGAAGAGGAGAGTGAGAATTAGTGAGAGCTTGCGAGATCTGAGAATGTTACTAAGGCTTCCTCCTGGCACTAAGGTAAAGCTTCATTTCATGTTCTATATATACTCACATTATTTCTTAGATTTACCAAAAAAATTTTATGTAATTGCATCATGTAAAGTTACACTTGGATGAAATTAAATTATGTGAATTTACTTTGACCATTTGATTGAATTTGGTTCGTGTTAAAAATTGCAATGCACAAAACTTATGAAATTCTATTAGAATTTAAGTTACTGCATTTGATTTTCAAATTTATATTTTATTTCCAGATTGATCATGTATACACTCCCCAAGAACATGTCACATCACTTGATTATGTGGATCACAAGAACTTTAGTTTCCAAGCTTAAAATTAATGACACTTTATATGAATGTCATTTGTTTTTGAGAATTGTCACATTACAATTGCACTCGAAGTGTTTGAATGCTAAAATGCATCGAGACTTTTAATTATACTTTTAATTTGGGTGTCATAGAATATAAAATAAGTATCGGAATGACGCTAGCCCGATATGCTTGAACATATGTGGGACACTGCCTCGATTTGTCCGATTTAAATAATATTAGATTAATAAGACGTGTGTCAATATGTTTGTCTTAGATTAGTGAATTAATTTAAAGAGATTATACATATTTTATGATTAAATTTTTTAAAAGAAGTAATTTATTTTTATTTACAAACCTATCTATTGAACATGTTGGCCTAGTTATTTTCTTACAAAGGAGTTCGTGTGATTTGTCGATCGCTCGTCTAAGATGGCATTTCTCATCATCGACATCTTCGTTTTTCAAAATTAAATTTCTTTTGTATTATTATTAAAAATTTAATTTATATATATTTTTAATAAATTTATTGTAACGCCGAATGTGATGCATTTTCGTGTCATATATTTTTAATAATAGAAGTGTCGAATATTCATATATTATTATGTCAGAATCCGTGTCTTATCGGATATAACGAGCTATGTTGAAATATGCAATATTAACTTGACAACAATCAAAAGAAAGCTTGTTTACACAAAACTAATACCTTTCAAATCAACTCCAGAGCTTGTTCTATTACATCATTCATGAAACTAAACATTTTTTGAAAATAATAAAATCTATTATAAATTTAATTTTTCTATATTCACTAACAAAACCTTGTTTATAATAAAAGCTTATTAACTAACCATCCCTAACTTGTTTCTCATTTCTGCTTACAAATGATGAACTTCATCATGCAACAGAAGGACCATGTAACAGTGCTTTCCAAGACAAAAGATTACTTGAATACTCTGAAAGTTCAGATCAAAGAGCTGGAGGAGAAGAACAGAAAGCTCGAACTGCAACTAAAATCAAACAAACAAGCTGTTCCAGTTCCACTCACTAACTCCAATGAAAGGGTAGAAATTCAAGTTGTCAGAGTATCAGAATCACAGCAAATGAACATTTTGATTATTGTAAGAGAGGAGGTGAGGTTGATAGATTTGCTTCTTAAAGTTCTCGATCGCTTAAAAGCGATGGGAATAGTGAATCTGACAACAATTGATGCAAGCTCGAGTCCTACTATGTCGAGCCTTACATTACAAGTTCAGCAGGTATGGAAATTTACTATTTATTTATTTATTTATGTTTAATAATGAATATAATAAACTAGAAAATTAGTGTAGTTGGGTTCCAATGACAATTGAATTGACTTACATAAAAGCTTTTAACTTGCAATAATGAGCATTATTTTAGAAGTGATTAGCATTATTTTGTGGGGTCACAACAAAATATGTAGGTCTGTTTCGTTATGACTTAGAAAAGAGATTATGATTTTGACAGCAATCTTCATGACTCACCATATATATATATATATATATATATAGAGAGAGAGAGAGAGAGAGAGAGAGAGAGAGAGAATCAAAGCATTATTTGAAGCTATAAAAGTTAACATCTAGTCAAAATGGAAAAAAGATAAAGATTTTCTATTACTTAGATTATTATTATATGATTTAATTTTTTAGTTAATGTTAATTGAGCTAGAACTCGTCCTAAATGAATAAAAAGATCGTGCATGAATAAAAATTAAAAGAAAATGAATTATAATAAAGATTTTCTTTTTTTATATGAGGGTAGAAAGTTCATTCATTCATTTTAATAAAAAATTAAAAATAAAATTTTATCTCAGGAAAAAAATTCTCTTGAAATCCATCTAAAAAACCCATCTTTTATCCCTTATAATTTCTTCATATATTATCTTTTCATCCTTGTATTAAGTAATTCCTAAGCAAAATTTTTCGGGTGATGAAGAACATCATTAAGAGGAAAATTCTCAACAAACGTAACAAGGGAGGGATAAGAATTCCATAACATAAATTCAACATAGAATTTCAAATATTTTAGTATGTTAATTTTCTTTGAAGGAGCTTGTTGTAAGTGAGAATATTCAAACTTAGCTAATAGTTAGTATATTAATGAATGTTATTCGATGACCAAGAAAAGTATTTATTTTTCTCAATTAGGCTAAGAGTTATAGGAGTGTTGATCCATAGCTTAAGTGGTAAATGTGATATTTCAAGAATCATAGAGTAAATTTTTATATAATAAGCGATAATATATTATTGTGTGTATACTAATCAATGTAGTCTTGTAGCACAAGTATATATAGATAGTAGTGAATGCTTGGAGAAGCTTCAAGCTTTTGTGCCAACGGTGAGAAATGGATAAGGCAGTTGAGCTTACAGTTGAGATGGTCATACAAAGATGATGCTATTGTTGTACGTATAGGGGTACAGTTAGCACCCCTCAAATGAAGGATCCGAGAGGTGATGTACGTTACTGTTATTTCATTTGAGAAGATGTGATCGATCTTATATATGATGATAATATATTTCAATATGTTTTATTCTAGCATGAAAAATAATATTGTTTACAATGATTATAATCGGGGTGTTATCACAGTGAAGTGACATTAGTTGGAAGAGAGAGAGAGAGTGAGAGAGATGTTAAATTATTGGATCAGTCGTCTTAATCAAATGATATTAGTATCCACTAATGCAAGTCTTCAGTATTTAGCTCACGGGAAGATCCAACTAAAGTCTTCTGCTTTTGAACTCTCTAAGTAATAAGCGTAATTTTGAGATGTATACAGTGGCCAAAAGTAGAGTGGAGATCTTAAGGATTCTTTGCCCAATCAAAGAAAAAATAGAATATAGTGTAAGGTAGTCAGGTAATATGGGAAGGCCATAGGTAATTATTCCTCTTGAGGTATCAAGGGATCTACTTGAGGACTTGGAAATGATGCATTAAGGATTGATGCATAAGTTGAAAATTTTGATTTATAGTAAAGGCCGAATCCATTTGACTAATAGTTAGATATTGTAAGGAGTTAGCTAGCTTTTGATTTTAAGTTGGGACAATAAACAGATGTTTTGATAAACCATCAAGTCTAAGTTTGGAAGGTAGTGGTTCGTTAGGACTATTTGCAGTCCATCATTCTAGCAATTTGATGAAGAAATGTAATGTATCTTGCTTTACTGAGAAAATAACATGTAATTGTTTTGGTGATATGAATATTCAAGTAAGTAGACATTGGACCAATTAGTTCTTTGATCTTAAATCCAAGTTTGAGATCTTAGAGGAGTGTGAAATGCAAGTGTCATCAATTATGATGAGGAGAATATTATCCACATATTTAAGAAGATATATGATTTTTTGATTTTACCTTTAAAAATAGAGAAGGGCATAATGATGAAATTTATACAACATAAGATTGCTTGAAAAGGTGGAGTACCATTGAAAAGATCCTCATTTTTAGCCATTGATATAAAACATTTTGAAAGAAAACATAAAATTTGGATATTGAGTCCTAAAAACGTTGATATTGTTTTATGTAAACAATATCATCAAGAGTGTCTTATAAAAAAACATTAGACACATATAGCTGAAGAATAGACCATATATTACTGAGTGATGGTCGGAAGAATTTGAGTGGTTAGCAATTTAACAATTGGACTCAAGGTCATATAATAACCAACTCCATTTATTGATTAAACCCTCATGCCACTATTTATATTTTATAATAAATTTGTTTGGATGTACGTTGTTTAATTTTGTTGGTCACTGACTCTCGATGAGGGTTTGGTTTAGTGGTGAGGGAACTAACTTTCATATGTTTGTCTATTGTTGAACTTGAAATTTTTGAAACATAGTGGTGCACCAATAAAAAAACTTAACATCTTTTGTGTATAATGTAGGATTTGTAGGAATGAAGAGATCATGAGATAAGTCAAGGACCCATTTAGCCTTAAGAGAGCTAGTTTGACGTGTTTTTATAGGAAGGCATAAGGGCTAGGGTAATTGTCAATTGGAAAATGGTTCAAATGTGGAATGGGGCATGTTTTTAGATATTGGAACATAAAAGTTGGAAGAGAGGGGTGTGGGACAAAAATGTGAAATGTTAGGTTGAGGTAAAATAAATGAAAAAGGTAATATAATTTATTGTCTTTTGTGTAAAGAGTTGTTATAAGAAGCAGAGTAGGAATATTGAAATGAAAGAGTTTAGGATTATTGGAGGTATTATTGGAGTAGAGAAATGAATGTTTACATGATAACTTTTCTAGTGAGAAGCTTATAGTAGTGGTAAATTTTATGTGTGGTAAAATATCCAATAAATTTGGTTAAATCTTTTTTTTTCCTCTAGAAATAGTATGAGCATCTTTAACCCAATTGGCTTTCAAGGCTAGTTAAGTTGTGATATGGTCTTTTGATGCATCAAAAAATATGTTAATTTGTTCACTAATTACAAGGGAATACATATCATAAAGACTGACAATTTTCAATTTTTTTGTAAAAGCCTATCCTTAAGGATTAACAAGAACGGGTAGGTCATTCATAATATATTGGATGATATTTTAAGGATCAAAATGAGAGTCAACTATTGTTATGTTATCAATAAGAGCTTTAATTTCTAGTAGATATTGCAACATATATTATTTTTTATACAGATGTGATGAAATTCTTTTTTAAACAATTACACATGATATGCTGACATAATTGAACCTTTTTTCCAATATCAACCAAATTTCTATAGTAGTAAAATTAAGAATATAAAAGAGGATAGAGGGTGAGATCATTGAATAAAAAAGATTTTGTTCTATGAGTTATGAATTGTAGAGTGAGGATTTGGTATGGTTTGTCTGAAGGAATCAAAAGAATTCTTGGGAGGGCATCTTGAGGTTTCAGTAGAGAACACTTTAAAATCATTAGCTCTTGATATATTTAGGGGTTAAGACTACATGTGGGGAAGTTATCAACAGAGAGCTCAATGGTAACTATGTTTTAATTTGACATTGTCCATTACAAAATTTAGATAAGGAGGGTTATTGCTCTAAGCAATGTTTGGTAGAGAAAATTCTCCTAAGCTATAAATTAGTGTTAGTTGAGGACTCTGACATTGTTGACAGAAATACAAATGAGCTATTAGATTAGGAGGAACTCTAAAACCATGTGAAACCTGAAGACATGGAGAGCAGTATAACAGAAAAATTTGTAGTATAATATAATAGATAATGTATGTTTGCATGTGCAATAATCAATGTTGTTGATGTAGCATAAGTATACATAGATAAAAATGAATTCGGGGATACAATTCCATACTTTGGACCTATGGTGAGGATTGCATAAGTTGGTTATGAGCTTATAATGGAGAAGGTTCTATAGAGATGGTACTGTTGTTGTATGCATAGGGGTAAGATGCTAGAACCTTTAGGTTGTTAGTAAGTGCATTGATTATTTCCTCATAGTCATTTGATTGTCTTTTCTGAACTGGATTTAATATAAACAAAATATAGTAATTTTCTAACATCAACTTCAATAGTTATTGTTCATCGAATAATTCAATATCACATATTTCATCCCAATGTGGTGGCACTAATTCACTAATTAATATGGGGGAAGCTAACAAACTAATAATCATTATAAAAATATACACATAATTATTATCTATAACCTAAAATTGTGCGATAAAAATATTCTAATTTCAAGATTTTTAAATGAATTCAAATATGAATAATGACAATAATTAATAAGTTAGTTAGAGGCTAAAACCATAGAAATAAAGACACATTATCTTTCAAATCACTATTGTTATTTTTGTCCATTTACTTATATGCCAATCAATTCTTATGCATTTACATAAATGACATTTTAATTTTAAAAATTAAAATTTTAGTATTTTAAATGTAATATAAAAGATTTAGTTATTATATATTTAAAAAGTAAGGAAATACATAGGAATTTGGGGGGTAGGTATGTAAATGCCCTATTTTTTTCAGCAACCAGTGCTGAAGTTTAATTTAAATAGAATTTTTGCATGAAATGATTTTTATGGCTGACTTTATCACCAAAACTTGTGATATGAAATATCTGGTCGGTACAAATATATAATAAAAAAAAAATTTAGATGCTAGATATGTAAATACCAAATTGTTGTGTGGTGTGTATGTAAATGCCCTTCTGAAAAAACATGCTTATATTGATGTGGCATCCATGCAGGCTTTTGATTGGGACGAGGACTCCCTTAAGCAAGCCTTGACCATGGCGATACTTGACCCGGACAAAGACAACCACTGATGAATTTCATTCCTGACCCGTCAAAATTGCCCAATATTATTTTCTTAATTTCATATATATATATATATAGAGAGAGAGAGAGAGAGAGGCTGGTGACTAATAGTATTCAAAGATGGAGCGATTATTGCGCGACTTTGATCTGAGAGCTCTGTGTGCGCTCTCTGCATGCAATAATTAGACTCAAAGATGAGGCGATTTTCAAAGAAGAAACTTGAAAATAAAAGATGTGGAAAGCATGTAAAGAATGCATGTTGAGGGACAAGGAAGGCTCATTGAAGGAGACGAGAAGGAATATTACTTTATTTATTTATTTATTTTATTTTCTTTAGACGGAGTATTATTTATGTACATGAATCAATTTTGTTACAATAAACGAGAGTTTATAGAATTATATATTTTTAAAGTCGTTCAAGTGTGTTGAAATATTATCCAAATATTTCTTTTTAATGCTCGATTTGTGCTTTGATCTTCTTAAATATGTAGCCATCGGATTTGATGAAGAAAATCCGCGTTTAATTTTAAATATTTTGTTTTTGTCAATGGAAATGATAATTCGTTATTTGATGAACGCTTGGTGCACGAGAGTCTTCTTTGGAGCTGTTTGGCGAATAAGTGTTGATTAGGGCTTTGCATTTGATTGGCAAATTTGATAAACCAATTGATTTTGAGTCTACAACCTTCAAATAAGAATCAACAAAACTATAGTCGTAATAAAACCGAATCGAACCATCGTGTAGTTGGGTCTGTTTGGTTTGTTTTTTTTTTTGTTCAACCAAAATTTAGTACGTGGTGTCGTGGTCACGAGTATCGGCAGTAGTGGTGTCGTTGCTGGTGGTGGTGGTAGTGTCGTGGCTAGTGGTGTTAGTGGTGTCGGGGTCGTGACAGGTAGAGGAATTGGTGTGGTAGCTGAGAATGGAGGCGGTGCCGATGTGGTGCCCTCTGTACCACCATATCAACGACCTCATCAGCTTATGGACTTCTGCAAAACAACACGTCCCCCAATGGGGGCATACTGCCCCTTCTTCTATAAGTCACCTGCAAGCATGAAAGTAAGTTTAATTAGTACATCTACATATTATTAAAGATGAAAGTGCAATAATATGCAGTAAAAAGAAAGGGTAACACCAAATTACATGCATACAATCTACAGACTACTGAAACTGAAAAAAACAAAAGTACGCAGTAAACAGAAGGGAAACCTGTAAACTACAATCTAAAAAATACTAAAACTGGAAACACGGAAGTACACAGTAAAAACAAAATAACACTTACATATCTTCGCTAACCTCCTCTGATGAATCACTTGAAAATGTAAATAAAATTCATTCATCCAAACTATCACTAGAATCATGCTCATCGATATCAATTTTTTTTGTGTTCATCATCAACATCCATTAAATTTATCCCTTCATCAAAAGTGTCAAGTGGAATGTATGACTCTATCATTTCTAATTCCTGATGAGCTAGTTCAATGGAATTCTACATATTAATAGTTGTTTTCAGTTTGTCGGCTATTACTATTGCCCACTCTACTTTGTCTCATATTTTATGGGAATATGGAAGATAAAATACTTGACTTGCTTGTCTTGCTAAAATAAACGGATCAAATTTATCATATCTTCTATTTGCTTTTACTTCTACGATATTATACAGTTGGATAACCCTTATTCCACTATTAGGAACAAGATTGAACCAGTCACAGTTGAATATGAATACACTCAAACAAATAGAGTCAGGATAAGATAGTTTACTACTTCGAGAATCTCATGTAATCTATCACATCGTCTGAGTTATTATTTGCTTTAGCACAAACACCAAAATTATAAGTCTTTTTCCCTTCTAACCAGCACTTCGTATGAAACTTGTAGCCATTCACATCATAAATTTGCCAAATTTTGACAATGCTAATGGGTCCTCAAGCAAGATCTAGCAAGCCCTGATTTGTTACGTCATTGTTTCTATCATGAATCTAGTAATTCATAAATAACTCATTTTTCATTAAAGATAACTAATAACAATACTCTTAGATAATCAATAATTTTGATAAACACTTATATGTGTTGTGAATCATTTGGGAAAATTGTTTTATCTCCTGGTTTGTGATATCATCTTCAACTGAGTACACCAAATCTAAGAATAAATTATTACCATAATGAAAAAATTATGGATTAACCAACATACTAATTTCACCAAAAAGAATTAACTATTAATATAAATTAATGTCTTACTCAATAAAGGGTTGAACTTCGTCGCAATTTAAAAGCACCTAAGGTTTTGATGCTCAAAGTTTCTGATCACTTAGATAATGTGCTGTACACCTCGATGTTTCACAAAACTGCTGAAAAATAGAAAGTTTCATGAGAGGCATCACATCCAATGACATGGACTCTTCTCGCATAAAAAAATAGGAGAAGAAGGTGAGAGTCTCATGCAGTAAATATGCCTCACATATGGATCCTTCTAGTTGTGCTTTATTCATGATTGTTCGCTTCAGTTTATTCAAAAGTATGTAATGTAATTATTTCACAATATTACTTATGAAGCATTTGCTAGAAATTTTATTCACTAAATTTTTACTATGTACCACTCAAATGGATACATTCATCAAAACTATATTAGTCCACCAAGTAAGGCTTTTCGTGTTGTAGGTATACCAATAAATGCTCCATGGAGCTGAAAAAACTAGGTGTAAATATTCTTTCAAGTTTGCAAAATATTATCAGAATATTTGTTTCTAACTGTCGTACGTTAGCAACTTTCAAACGAGATACACATATCTGCTTGAGGAACACAATCAGTGGATTTAAAATATGACTTGGCGAGCAGCTAAATGCGGTTGGCAATAAATTTTGAAGAAAAATATGATAATTGTGGCTTTTCATTCCAAATATCTTTTATTGTCTACACATATAAAATGACTCAAATTCAATGCATATCTACTTAGATTAGAAAGTTCAATGCCTGGAGCCACTCACAAATTGATCTACGTTTTGTCAAAGGAAGAGAATATTTTATTTTGGGCTTTAAAGGCTTGCTAGTAACAATTCCATGAATTTCCATATTTTGCTTTCAACAAATCTCTTTTAAATCTCGTCTAGCATTGACATTATCTTTAGTTTATTCCATAACATCCATCAAAATGTTAAATATATTGCCAAAATATTTTTTCTTTATTTGCATCACATTGAGATTATGCCTGATCATGTTATCCTTCCAATAAGGCATTTCCCAAAAAATGGATTTATTTGACCAGCTATGAATAAAATCAAAGCCTGGTGGATGATGCAAAGATAGTTCAGAACAAACAGTAATCTTCAGAATGTCATTGACAATCTAAAATAAATCTTCCCCGCATAATAATGAAGGTGATATTGATTTCTAAATTTTATTTCTTTTGAATGCACTTTCGTTCCTTATGAATGGATGTCTGGAATCTAAAAACATATGATGACAATCAGATCATGAAATCTTCTTGCCATGCTGAAGCATGAATGCCTTAGATGAATTCATGCAATATGAACATGCTAACTTTCCCGCAGTGCTTCAACCAGATAAGATTCCATACACTAGAAAATCCACATTAATGTTGCTTTCATCATAAAATTGTGTTTTATTGTAACATCTTAAGTCATGAAAAATTTTTCCCAAAGAATTCGCAGCTCATCTATCAGTGACTACATGTATACATCAATCTGATATTTAATACTACTGGGCCATGGAATAATCAAGATTATGACTAAGAAGGGCTTTGTCATGCACATCTCGGGGGAGGGGGGAGATTGTACGGTGAAACGATCGCTGGCCAACAACGGTAAGGTGTCGCAATCTGACTGTATGGTGAGAAGCCATCCAAACATAAGCTCAGTCTTACGTTACTTCACTCTGCAACAAACTAGGGATGTAAACGATCAAAACTTTTCTATGTCTCTCCATCTGGAATTAAATTTTCTTGTGTATTAGTCTCTGTTGACCTCATTTTTGGTTGAGGTTTGATTTTTCCTCTTTTAGTAGCCTAGGGTCTAGCCATAGAACTTTCTTGTTGACTATTCCTAGAGGACTAGAAAATGAACCCTCACCAATTGAAATTCTAAACCCTTCTTTGTCAACTTGAAGTTCCACATGTTGGTCATAACCTCTAGCACTTAGTAGGTGGGGTCAGTATGAAGGAGCTCAAGGAGTCCCCCATATGATGGCCAGACCTTAGGACTAACCCTGGGTGATCTGGTTTTGGTGGGGCTAACTTGCACACACTACACTCTCTCACACACCCTGAACCCTAGGACCCCTTAGTTTGGTCTCCAGACTCCTTTTGGGAGGCTCATATGGATGGCCCGATACCCCTAGTCTTTGGCTAAGAGGGTTAGAACCAGCATATTGAGCATCCAAAATGAGTCCTCACATGGCTCCTATTGGTTTGGTATGGCTTCATGGCTTGTTGGCCCATTTTGGCCCAAAATCACCAAATTATCAAAATACCCCTACAACCCTAATTTTTGCCAAAAATCCAGAAAATATCCAAAATATCCAAAATTTTCAAATATCATCTCAAAACCCTCACCACTATTTAAATTGACCAAAATTTACCAAATTTCCAAAAAAAAAATTGCCAAAATTACCAAAATGCCCCCCATGACCTAAAAATTCCCAAAAATTACAAAATAATCCCAAATATCCCCAATTTCAATTTTTTATCATCAATTTGGCCAGATTTGACCAATTTTATCCAATTTGACCAAAAGCCCTAATTTGCCCTTAAAGGCCCAAATGTTAATTTGCCCTTAAAAAAGCCCTAATTTGCCCTTAAAGGCCCAAATGTCCCCAAATTAACCCCAATCTTGGCCCTATTGACCTCAATTTTGCCCAATTTTAACTCTAAATCAAAATTTAATATCCCCAATCCTGATCTAAACAAAACCCAAGCCCAATTTGATCCAAATGCAAGCTCAATTTCATTTAAATAAAAAAAACCTATTTTTGACCATATGCTCAAATCCATCAAA